GCTGTATCCACTCTATCCACATTTTGCTTGTCTTCCTCCGCATCAAAAATCAAAAAATCAAATCGTAATGGTCCAGCAGCTGTGAGGTGTAGGAACAACCTGCTCTAAACCCGTGCTGCTTATTGAGATTCTGTGTGATTTGCAATATTGCTTCTTAAAACTCCTGTGAAGATGTTCACCTGGGATAGCGCTATTGGTCAATAGTTAATTGGCATCTACTTCATCAGTAGATTTTAATGACTTGGATAATTCCAGTGTCGAAGGTGTTCGTTCTTTGTGATATTCATGGCATGATTATTATAATCACAGGTAAGCGCTAAACCTGTAGGATTATACAGAGGATGTGGGGGGGATGGAAGGTATTCAGGATTAATTCAGGGAACTGGAGCACAGATCTAATTCCCTAGATCAAGAGCCCCTCCCCAGCATCAAGGAACCTCCCTTGAGGGGTCATTCATGGCTTGAGATAAAGGTTTCCTGTAATTCTAGACGAAAATTAAGTTCCACAATTTTGGGCCTGGACAGAGTGCAAGGTTATGCTATCAATTACTTCTTCGAAATCATGGGGGCTTATGCTTATGTCAGAAATTAGGGAGATGTCAGTAAATAATATAACCAATTAAAGAGCTAAACCCATATGGGTCATACAGCACAGTGAGTAAGAATACGTAAATGTAAGGAGAGAGAAGGGTGGGTGAGGGTGGTGTGCAAGAGAAAAATTTATGTTAGTGTGTAATAGGTTGCTTCCTGCTAAAAAAAAAAAAAAGTGACACTGCAGGAGGAGGATGTCAGTAGTTTTAGTTTCTCTTATGAAAAACTCATCTGATTGTCACTTTAGAATGGTTAAATGGCTCAGTGAAGAGTCAGGTTGTGACAGGTATTTTACCATCCTCATCAAAGGATGCCCAGATGTTGTACATGTGTTATTCATCATATGTTTTATTGAAGATGAATTTGAATATACCCTGATGACTTATGCTGCTCAAGAGCAGTTTGTATACACTCAAAACTGCAACATGATACTAAATAACTGGCTGGACACAACTGCAACCCATGGCAAGGCAAGTCTAAAACCAGGTAACCAGTGTGCTGTCCACTGTATCATACTGGCCTATTAGACCAGTACAGTACAGTGGATAATGTACTGGCTTCCCAGTTTTAAGACTGGCTTCCCATGAGTTCGAACCCTCCATTCAGTGTGTCTGCAGGTCTGAACTTTGATAAATGTTGCCTAAGTACGTTGTTTTTGACAATTCCCCCCCCCCATGATCCAATCCAGATCCTCATTATTTTTGAACCTCACGTTGGTGTACTTTTTTGGGTATTACCCCAAAACAAATTTGTGTACAGCAAAATTACCTACTAGACTTGAAAGTTCACAGAATCTGGAAAAATGCAAGCATTCAAATTTAATAGTTTATTAAATCCATTTGTATGGAGAATGGCTGAAAAGTGTATATTATATGGTGTATGTACTGTATGGTGCCCCATGGCAAAAGCTCTCACCTCACATGCTGAGGGTCTGGGTTCGATTTCCCAGCAAGGGTAAAAACACCAGGCGTTTCTATACACCAGTTGTCTATGTTCACCCATCAGTATAAAATGGGTACCTGGGTGTTAGTGGACTGGTGTGGGTCACATCCTGGGTGTTAGTGGACTGGTGTGGGTCACATCCTGGGTGTTAGTGGACTGGTGTGGGTCACATCCTGGGTGTTAGTGGACTGGTGTGGGTCACATCCTGGGTGTTAGTGGACTGGTGTGGGTTGCATCCTGGGTGTTAGTGGACTGGTGTGGGTTGCATCCTGGGTGTTAGTGAACTGGTGTGGGTCACATCCTGGGTGTTAGTGAACTGGTGTGGGTCACATCCTGGGTGTTAGTGGACTGGTGTGGGTCACATCCTGGGTGTTAGTGGACTGGTGTGGGTCACATCCTGGGTGTTAGTGGACTGGTGTGGGTCACATCCTGGGACAAAACTAACCTAATTTGCAGGAAATGCTCAGCATAACAAGGGACTTTCTATATAGTAGTATGTCACTGATGTCAACTATGATCTGTATACCTTGTACATGTACTGGTAGTAAATAAATTATAATTATTATAATCATAGGAAAGTGCTAAACCTGTAGGGTTATACAGCTCATATAGGAGGGTGGGGGATGGAAGGTATTCAGGCTCACTTCAGGGAACTGGAGCACAGATCCAATTCCCTAAATCAAAAGCCCCTCACCAGCATCCAGGAACCTCCCTTGAGGAGACAAAATTAACAATAAAATTAAAAATAAACTGCATATAAAAAAAATACTAACAGACATATTTTTAATAAAAATCTCATTAAGGAACTAAAGAATTTAATTGAAAAATTTTTCACTTCAGGTTTTGGAGCAATAATGATATTTCATTTTTGATACATCATTAAAATTTGGGTTTTTTGATGTCTGAGCAATTTGGACATTGTCTTCGGCATTCAACTAATTTCTGGACTTCGTTTTCAAAAAAAAATCATGAAAAATACAATGGAATGTAAAATTAATAGAAAGCCGCCAAACATTGATATTATTATTTGAGCAATTTCAAGTACGTATCTCTAAATGGAATCATAAGTTCTAATAAAAAAAATAAAATATAAAGGGATGTTAATGTTGCAGTTTTAGAACTGTAACGTAAGCGGGCCTCTGGCAAGACAGTGATGGGGTGAATGACGATGAAAGTTTTTTCTTTTTCAGGCCACCCTGCCTTGGTGGGGAAACAGCCAATGTGCTGATAAAAAAAACTTACATTGTACACTCCTAATTGTTATGACAAATCATAAACCATCACTTTACCTTGGTCATCAAAAGTCTTAAGCCTACTAACATGAACAATGAACTCCTATTGACTGCAAGCAAAGACAGTTATTGATAAGGAAATAGGACACTAGGCCAAAAGTTAGGGAGGTGCGGTTGTCGTGCCGGCTCCGAGTCACTGCTGGCACTCGAGGTGTTGTCAGTCACTGAACTCCTTTCCTGTTTTACATCATTGCCAACTTAAGAAATGGTCCCTACAAATTAGATTTTTAATTTATTAAGAAACTACAAATTGCTTGAAAAAATATATAACTCGTAATTTGCCTCATTTATTAAATGATAAATTTTTGTGCAATTTTATATACATGTTAATTGAGCCTTCATTAACCTTGAGATTTTAATTTTTACCCCATTTGGGGTAATTTACCTCAGTTCCCCGACCCCTGGTCTAAGGTGATAGACATACATGAAGAGTTCAAGACACTGAAGAAATAAAAATAAATAAATAACAAAAAGGCACAATACCGTGACTGGAACAATACACAAATAACCCGCACATAAAAGAGAGAAGCTTACGACGACGTTTCGGTCCGACTTGGACCATTGACAAAGTCGCAAGTGACGTGCAGTCACTAGGACTAAATACATCACTTATAGTGAAACATTTCCTCAATAAACGTCTTGAACTCTGAATACGTGTGTTGACAAAATGTTGGTATCACCATACCTTTCCAGTCATAATGTAAAATGTATTTCCAAGATCTATTGCACAATTTTCCTGTGCATTACTGCAGTCTCATGCTTTATCTCTGTTCATCTTGCAAATTGCATCCTAATTCTAACACTTATTCACCCGATGTTTACATCAGTTGTGCATTACTGAATGACCCTTAATGTGAACTTCATGGCAAATAAAACGTACAGACATTACATTATACAGGTGGTCCTCGACTTATAATGAAGATACATTCCGACAAACCCATCGTAAGTTGAAAATATCTTAAGTCGAATATGAATATGTGATAAATACATGAATAAATACTGTCACTGAATAAGTAAATAAATAATTACTGTAACTAAATACCAGTACTGAAAAGTGAATAAATGAATACAAGTTACAGACTTGCCACTGTCATGTTGGGTAACTATTTTAAGCTTTACCTCCAAATTAATTGCTTCTGCACCATCATAAAGTCGAAATATCACAAATTGAGCCATTGTATGTCAAGGAGTACCTGCTCAGCGAGTCCTCAAGTTACGATACTAATCCATTCCAACTGACCTATTGTACCTCAGAGCTACTGTAACTCAAATACCAATTATTATAATCAAAACCGAGAGCTAAACCCACAAGGGTCATACAGTACTGCCTCAAATGCCTCGGATATTTTTTTGTTAAACACACTGGGGGTTTTCCCAGTTATAAACGTGCACAGGCTTCAGAGACATTGGAATGTAACAGCAGAGCAAGCCTCTCTTTCATAGGCTTGTGTCTAAGCAAAGTAGCAGGTTAGGACAACACAGGACAGTTAGGGAAGAAGGCAGACTGATAGACAGGCAGATTGGTAAATTATTATAATCAAAGACAAAGTACTAAACCTGCTAGGGTCAGACTGGTAAAGAATTGTGGAATTAATATTTACTCTTGTCACTGTCTTCCTACCTCTGCTGTCTGATACATGAACAATCTTTGTGGAAATACATTTGGTCCCAAAATTCCCACTGATAAATTAGGGGTAAAGGAGGTTTTGTGTGCGAGGGGCTTGGACTTCCAGCAGGCATGCGTGAGCGTGTTTGATAAGAGTGAATGGAGACAAATGGTTTTTAATACTTGACGTGCTGTTGGAGTGTGAGCAAAGTAACATTTATGAAGGGATTCAGGGAAACCGGCAGGCCGGACTTGAGTCCTGGAGATGGGAAGTACAGTGCCTGCACTCTGAAGGAGGGGTGTTAATGTTGCAGTTTAAAAATTGTAGTGTAAAGCACCCTTCTGGCAAGACAGTGATGGAGTGAATGATGGTGAAAGTTTTTCTTTTTCGGGCCACCCTGCCTTGGTGGGAATCGGCCAGTGTGATAATAAAAAAATAAAAAAAAAAATGCATATGTGTCTAATTTATAAACATGTCGGTTCTCTGAACCATTCATCTACAAAAAATTCCCACTGCCGGCTTGTATATAACTCAAGGGACAACTGTATTTGAGAAATAAATTAAGAGAAATAGTTAAAAGAAATTTTTATTGTCAATTAATAAAATACATTGGAAATTCATAAAATAAAAAAAAATCAAGAAATTTTTCTGCATAAAATTACTATCAACATCAGTGAGCGGTCAGACAATATAAGAAACATATGACTAGTGCAACAGCAATATTTTCAATGTTGTCTCTACAACGCAAATACCATTAAAAATAGTTATTAAAAACATATCCAAGTGTAAACTGACCTCATGCAATATAAAATTATCACCAGTATAAAAAAAAAAATTGTGTTTGTGAAGCAAATGTGTGGATATTTTTGGAACCAACAGGAATAATGTTTTGTTAGACCTAAATGATGAAGTGTTAGTGTGTGCTGTATATGGCATCTGGTATTAGATAAATTCAGAGTGCTGTGAGTACATGATAATGGGGACTTTTTATATAGAAAGAGGTTTGTTAATGGGTAAAACTATTTAAAGGAAAAAAAAAAAGAAGGCAGATAAGTGTGAGATACGATAAAACTTGCAGCGACTGCCGTTTACTAGATAAAAAGTTGATGGGTAGGTATCTAGATGTGCATGTTTTAGAAATTAATGTCAGAGCAGCAGCGCTGTATAGCCCTTGTGGCTTAGCGCTTCTTTTTGATTATAATAATAATAATAATGTCAGAGCATCAGATCATTATTTAGTGGTACCAACAGTGAGAGTAAGAGGTAGATGGGGCACCTCTGTCAGTGCTTACAACACAAGTGAAACTAAACGAAACAATGAAAAGGAGGCAGAGTAAGGTGGAGGATGATATAAGCAACAACTGGAAGAAAGGTGGTCTAAGGAGCATTAAGTAACACTGAGGTCTGAACAAGCTATGGGGTATATTTAAGAATGCAGTTCTAGAGTGCACAGCAGAGGTTTGTGGTTCTGAGGTGATGAATAAGTGTAAAGAGAAATGATTGGTGGAATTAGATACAGATGTCTTCACAATGTACAAATGATATAGAGTATAAAAAAAAAGATAAAAAAAAAAGGGGGGGGGGGGTTAAAGTAGTGGTGAAGGAATGCAAGAGACAGTAAGAAAAAGAGTGAATCTATCTGCAAATTTTCCAGATTATAAAAAACAGTTCTGAAGATACATTAGTAAGCTGAGAACATTTGGAAACAAATGAACTAGGAAGTTAAAAACAAAAGGGAGATATTAGACAGAGAAATGGAGTGCTGTAAAGATGGGGCTGATAAATGATGATAATGAAAGAGAGGTAATGATTTCAGACATAGGGCAGGAGGAATAACATCTTAGAGTAAGACAGTCAGATGTGGTAAAGTGCATGAAGCAATGGGTAAAATGAAAGGGGGTTAAAGCAGCAGCTGGAATGTGTGGGACTAAAACAAAAGATGTTAAAAGCAGATGTGGATATTGTTTGGTTGTGGTTGACACATTTGATCAATGTGTGAATGACAGAAATACAGGTACCATATGTTTGGCAGAGTGTATGCATAGTTCCATTATACGAGGTAAAAGGGGAGGCTAAAAAGGAGAATTTACCAGAGTATAGTGGTGCCAACACTTTTACCTGGTCTTAAACACTGCAGCAAGACAGTAGCTGGAGGAAGTGGGAATATTTTAAGTCCGTGTGATGTGAACAATTTAAAAAAAAAAGAATCAAATGGGTTACAATTATAAGTACCATTAATATTATATAGAAAGCACAAACCCTCATGGGTCATACAGTGCTCTTATCAATGCCAATTCTCAAGAATGTTTTTGTACTTCTAAAAGATGTGTCATAATAAAGTAAAAAGAATAAGCATTAGGTCATAAAAAATATGACTGGCTTCTCCATCACTGGGTAGTCTCCCACTCAAGCTGAAGAAAAGTAGTCTTTAGTGGGAGATACAGAGAATTTGAGTGCTGAGACTAACCTCTTTTACGAGACTATTCAAAATACCATTAGTACTGGAAAAATTCACAATCCAATTGCATCTATACTGGACCACTATTAAGCCAGGACTTTATCGAGGTCCAGAATGGTCTACAACGTTACACAGCTTCCTCTCTGAATTGTGGGTCGGTTGTGAATTGTCTCCTCTACCACTAAGCAGTACCAGGTGGCAGTCACCACTGAGCAGCCCCAGGTGGCAGTCACCACTGAGCAATACCAAGTAGCAGTCACCACTGAGCAATACCAAGTGGCAGTCACCACATCCTTACTTCATAAAATAAATATTCCAACACTAACGTTGGTGTCAACCTTCCTATATTCTACATGACTAAGCTTTGCACAGTTTCCCTAAACTCTGCTTGTCTTCCAACACACTGGCCAGGAGAGTCCGGTCACCAAGAGCATGTTCCGCTTCCTCTGCATTCAATCTCAGGCTTATCTGTGAGAAAAAATAATAATTTACAATATCACAATATCTTAACAATATCACACTTGACAAAACAAGAAACATACAACAGTACGGGATTCGGAATGTCCAGGGGCCCTAAGAGAAAAAAAACTGATTGGGCCCCACACTGTTGTCAATTACAGGAGGGCCCCGTTTATACAGCAGGTTAGGTTGTGCGCTACTGGCCCTGCTTATACAGCAGGTTAGGTTGTGCGCTACTGGCCCTGCTTATACAGCAGGTTAGGTTGTGCACTACTGGCCCCGTTTATACAGCAGGTTAGGTTGTGCGCTACTGGCCCCGTTTATACAGCAGGTTAGGTTGTGTGCTACTGGCCCTGCTTATACAGCAGGTTAGGTTCCATGCTACTGCTGTAAAACAAAAATCGCTTTAAATGCATATAAAAGCCTGATAACATATTTACACTATCATATATTAAGTAAGCAATAGAGCTAGGCCTAAAAAATGCATAGACAGTGCACACATTACTTACTTCACAGTGAGTGGTGAATATATTTACTGTAGGGAGTATAAATGAGGAATGGGTATAACTGAAAACTGCTGCATTAGCGAAACACCGTAGTGTGAAGCGCTGTAAAGCAGGGCCGTGTTACACTAGTAGAAATTAAATTTTAACTTCAGAGATGGTTGTGTAACTGACTGCATGATGGATGCTGGCCCTCTATGAATGTGTTGTTGTTCTTACGAGTGTGTTGGCAAGTGAAACCTGGACCTGCCTAGCATAGACCAGAAGGCCTTCTGCAGTGCTTCTTCCTTCTATTCTTAAAACTGATTTGTTTAAAAAACATACATCCAACATGTTATTTTGTACATGTTCGGGGGCCCCATGTAAGCATTAGCCATCAAACAGGGTGCAACTCATGAAGGATTAAGAACAAATTTTAAATGATTTGGGGGCCCTCGGTAGTCAGGGACCTAAGTGGCCCCATCAGTTCACCTATTGATAATTCTGCCACTGGTGTGCAACTGACGAAGATTCAGGAAAACTGAAAAAAAAAAAAGGAATGTTGAACCAGTGACAGTATGCCTAACCACTGGTGGTATGGTGAACCCCGTGACAGTATGGTGAACCACTGATGGTATGCTGAACCAGTGATGGTATGGCAAACTACTGGTGGTATGGTGAACCCCCTGACAGTATGGCAAACCACTGACAGTATGGTGAACCACTGATGGTATGGTGAACTAGTGACAGCATGCTGAGCCAGTGACAGTATGGTTATTAATGAAATTAGTGTATATAGGTCTGGTAATGGGAATGAATGATAGGCTTCTTACTTTATTTGGGTTCTTGGTACACAGGCAGCATGTTTAAGTTGCCCTGGGGCCCAATCTGATGGGGATCCCTGCTGAGAGGGAGAGAGGGAGGCTTGTTGCCGGCTGCTAGGATAGTGAGGCACAGTAAGTGAGGTGCGTGCTGAGCCTGGTAGGCCTATAGATGTCAGCACCAGCATGGCGCAAATTATGAACCCAACTGGGCATACATTACTCGGCCACCTACCCATGGTCATCCTCGACCTACCTACCTCACTCCTTATCTCTCTCTCTCCCTTCACTTAATGACAGAGTTTCGTTCCTAAGACCACGTCGGTAAATGAATTCATCACTAAGTGATGAATTCCAACATACTTTGATATTGCTTTAATGCCACCTTTGCACCATTTATAACATTTCTGTTATATTTTTAATGTTTATATAGGTTTATATAGTAGTGTACTGTATATTGCAATAAACAGAATAGCAGCTCTAATATATATTATTTAGGCATGCATACTGGTCAGAGAGCCTGTCATAAGTCCAAGTTGCCGGTAAACGAGTACGTTACATCACTAAGTGAGGAGAGGCTGTATTCACCACTGTGACTCACCTTAGAACTGCGCAATTCTTTAGCACGCTTGACCTGCACCATACCCCGCGACTCCAATAACGTACACACTGACAAGAATTCCGTCTGATCCATACCCGGCATTTGACGTTTCTTGCAAACCCGTATATAGACCTCGTGAAACTGAAATAAGAGAAACTAAAAATTTAGATTTATAAATATTGAAATTTCATTTTTTGGGGCTAAGATTTAACAAATTCAAATCTCCACTGCAGATAAATCCTTGGCAAGTCATACCGTATTTTCTGGCATATAAGGTGACGATTGTATGAGACATGTAAGACGATGTTTCCAAGCAATTGTAAGAATGTTAGTAAACAACAGTTGAAGCTTACCCCTAAGCCTTCCTCTAACCCTGACCTTGAGCATATAAGGCGCAGGGTAATTTTGCAAGATTTTTTGTGGGGGGGGGGGGGGGGGGAAGAAGTGCACCTTATATGCTGGAAAAATGGTAATTAATGACAGTTAGTGAAAAAAAAAACAGAAAAATTAATAGCAACTCGAACCATGTTCAGTGAACAGTTACACAAGATCATTGGCCATACTGTAAGCCAGGTCTTGATTAGTACAAATTTTGATTTAGTTCAAAATTAATTAAAGCTAGTTTTTCTCCTACACACTTTTCAAATTGGGCGCAAAAATTACATATACAATAGGGCCCCACTTATACGGCGGATTAGGTTTCAGGCCGCCGCCGGAAGGCAGAACTCCATTTTTTTCCATTTATAAATGCATATAACTGTCAGACAACAAGTTTACACTAAATTATATTAAGTTAGTAATAGAACTAGGCATTAAAAACACACAAAGTAAAATACAGTCACAGTAAATTCATTACTTATCTTAAAGTATTTGTAATCTTAATGTAGGGAGAGAGGTGAGTAGTACTTATTTGTAGGAAGTCAGGTGCAGGTAGCCCAGGTGTAGGTAGCCCTGGCTCCCCGTCTCATACTTAATATACGATATTTAAAACATCCCAGAGAGGTAAAATACACATACAGTACACTCATTATTTACCTTAAAATATGTGTAGTCTTAATATAGGAAGAGAGGTGAGTAGTATTTATTTGTAGGTAGCCGGTAGGTGTAGCCCACCTGGGCTACACCTACCGGCTACCTACACTGTGGCCCAGAGCCATATTATTAACATCGACATACCTTGTTAACTGAATTTAATCATTTCTAACAACTACCTTTAGATGCCATCGTAAACGAAGGGAGAAGTATGAATAATTCATGCCGAAAATTGTAAACAAAAGCAGAGTGAGGGAGTGGCTGGGCCAAACGCAGATTCATACACGTTTTCTCTGGTGGCTGAGCAGAGAAAACGTAATGTTGTCCCTCCACCCGGCTACCACACGGCTCCACAAGTATTATTATCAGAGCACACACAAAATATGCAATAAATGCCAGACAACAAGTTTACATTAACTTACATTAAGTTAGCAATAGAAATAGGCATTAAAAACAATAAAAGGCAAGATACACACAAAGTACACTTATTACTTGACTTAAAAATATTAATATTAATGTGTGAGAGGTGAGTGGCAGGGTGTTTATTGAATAAAATCAGAATGGCACACCATCATCTTCTAACTTGGCACTTTAAGCAAGAGGCTTATGACTTCTCTTTTTATCACAGCTAAGCTTAGACACCATCGTCAATGAGAGTCAACTAGTTAACAAAAGAGTAAACGAGAGAGAGAACGAGATACAGAATTCAGACAATGTAAGAGCACAAACTGAACAGGTAGTGGGCGATTACCTGGTCAGACAAAATAAATGCGTATTAATATGTGTCTACTTTTAGTTCATTCATGTACGTTTGTAAGAGTTTGTAAAACATTTACCTCAATTTTTTTTATTATAATAATAACCTCACAATACAAATACTCTTACATTGTGTACAAGTTGTACTAGTTCAGAATAAACAAACAGCAACACACCATTTTTAGAGTGAATGATTATTATTATTATTATTATTATTATTATCATAAAAAGCACTAAACCCACAAGGGTCGTGAATTGCTATATGTAAAGGCATACGTAAAGAATATTTTTCTACAGTTATCCCCCAGTTTGACTAAAGAAAACGTAATTCTTCCAACACTACCTACACAGCTGCTTTGTAAACAAATCTCAAATTTACGCCAATTTTTATTCTGTGAGTGTATGTATCATGTTTATATGCTATGTAATGGGTTTCATATATAATTTTGAAGAAAATATCATAGATGGATTAATGAAAATGCCTATATTAATGTAAAATAAGACATTTACTGTGCCCAAGAGTGATTATTATTATGTAGTATTGGCATCATGAGTAGAGAGACTCTTAGTGATTTTAACCCTTTGACTGTCGCGGCCGTATATATACGTCTTACGAGGTACCGTGTTTGACGTATATATACTCATAAATTCTAGCGGATTCAAATCAAGCAGGAGAAAGCTGGTAGGCCCACGTGTGAGAGAATGGGTCTGTGTGGTCAGTGTGCACCATATAAAAAAAATCCTGGAGCACGCAGTGCATAATTAAAATGCCGACTTTGTGGTCTATTTTCGTATAGTATTTATGGTTGTATTCTCATTTTCTTGGTCTCATTTGATAGAATGGAAAACATATAAAAATAGAAGTGATTTTGATTGATTTTACTATAAAAAGAACCTAGAAATGGAGCTCAAACTAGGGAAAATGTTTGATTTTTGCCAATGTTCAAAAGTAAACAAATGATGCCATTGTCCAATAAATGTCCAACTAGCCATTCTAATATGCAGTCATGAATGGGTTGATGTTATTTATACAATTATCACAGTACTGCAGTAGTCTGCATAATAGTAAGTCTTCTATTTTTTGTTTGAATAAAAATTCAAAATAGAAAGCAAGAGTAATATCAGAGGGGCCTGGAGACATGACTGATGAACAAAGAAAATGTTATTTTAGAGCCAGGAATGTCTGCATTGTTCATTCTGGACCTTATTTTGAAATTGTCATATTTTTTATTTTTCGTGAAATTAGCCAAATTGCAAATTTCTGACCACATTATTAGATAGCTGAAATCGGTAAATGGGCAGTTTCTTGTACTCAATCGATAGAAAAAAATGGAGTTCTAAAGAAATAGCTATGAGTTTGGGCGACTGGAACAACGGAATTAGCCGAAAATAGGGCTCAAAGTGGGCGAAATAGCCGATTTGTAAACAGCGCCGAGGTCACTAACTTCGCGAGAGCATAATTCCGTCAGTTTTCCATCAAATTTCGTTTTTTTGGTGTCATTACAACCGGGAAAAGATTCTCTATCATTTCATAAGAATTTTTTTTTTTTTTAAATTTTGCGACACCAGGAGACACCTCAGGATTGGGGGTTGTGACAGTCAAGGGGTTAATGTGTACCTGCACACCAGCACAGTGTGTAAGCATATTTAGGTACAGGTATACATAAGTATAATTATCAGAGTACATATAAAATACGCAGTAACTTTAAAACACTTGAAATTTTGGAAAGTTTCCTGACATGATAGATGTGGTCACGGAGAACGTAAACAAACCGGGTGGGGCGTGCCGTATTTGAAAGACCGCTTGCCTTATAGCAAATTTTGGCCATGATTTGACATCGCCGTATTGGTGGAACGCTGTAAGACGAAATGGCGTAAAGCAGGGCCCTACTGTAATTCGAACAGTGTGAATTTGAATAATGCGACCAATTCCCAGGATTCATTATTCCCACTAATCAAGATCAAAGTGTACACACCATGGTTCATGTCCAGCCATTCTCCTGTTTTTTTTCTTTAATTGGCAATTGTTCAATATGACTTCTTATCTTGAATTTATTGATTATATGGCTTTGATGAGTATGAGAATACTTGTACTGTGAAAATTTCTGGAAGTGTGGGAAGTTACAATAGGGGTCACAGATAGTGCCACTCACATAAGTCACAGTTGTGCTGGTTGTAAATCATCCCATCATCAGCTCAACAGTTGAGAAGATGCAGCACTGGACCTTCTATATTCATGGACTACGGTTAAAGTCCCAGTCCATTCTTCTGTTTATTCAACTACACAAGCTTAACTAGATGCCAGTGAAGGATTCTTCATTCAAGAAAGAGGTATTGACTCTCCCTGGATCAATGTAGATTCCCTGTCATTCTCCAGCAGAACGCTCTCACCTCACACACTGTCTGTGGCTCCATGCCTGACACGGGCCATTATGCTGGGCGTGTTTCCTTACACCTGTTGTCCCTGTTCACCACCCACACCAGGATGCCACCTGGTGTGGGTGGCATCCTGGGGAACAAGACTGAAGGACCACAATGGACATAAGGCAGACAGTCCTTGATGACACAATGATTTTCTTGGGTTATCCTGGGTGGCTTACCTTCTGGTTTAAAAATCCAAACTAATCTTATCTTGATACTAAAGATGTTAAAATCTATCTTTTCATAATGATGACCTTCCATTCATTATTATGGAGGGAAGGAGGGGAAGGAGTTGTTCCAAGAAGGGTTAGAAGGAGGGGGTAAGGAGGTTTAGAGTGCAAGGAGGTTGAACATCCAACGAGCTTGTGTGAGTAAAGGCAAGTAACAGATGTGCTGTTGGAGTGTGAGCAAGGTAACATGGATTCAGGAAAAACTAATTAGCTGAACTTGAGTCCTGGAAGTGGGAAGTACAGTGCCTGTACTCTGAAGGATGGGTTAAGATATTACAGTTCTGGAGGTGGGAGGTGCCTGTACTCTGCAGGAGAGGTGAGGATGCTGCAGTTCAGGTCATATGAACTGTGATGTCAGCACATCTGGTAAGACAGTGATTGAATGAATAATGATTAGTGTTTTTTCCTCTTTTTCAGCTCGCTCTACCCGAGAGGAAGACAGCCAAACCTATAAGGGTCATCCACCTGGGAAAATGGAAATGGTTGGCAATATAATCCAAGTGGAAGGTAGTCCCAATTCCCTGAATCAAGAACCCTCAATAGTATTGCGAACATTAAATAATTTGTCCAATATCTCAATATTTCATCATGCAATAAAGCACTATAATTTTTTTTTTGCAATATTTTCAATTTCCTTTTATATAAAAAATTAGATAAAATGCTGTTCAGTACAGACACTCCTCACTTAATGACTGAGCACCG